ACGGCTTGAGTGTCACGGGCACGTTGGCGAGGGCCGCCGCCACAAGAATCTTGTGCGTGCGCGCGTTCTCAGGGTTCACGCCGCTCCACAGCGTGAGTGACATGGCGTGTGTGTGTTTGGGTGTGTGTGTTAGCGTGTGTTAGCGTATATACCTGCAGAGCAGTTGCGCGGCACAAGAGTGAAAGATCAGCAAAAAATGGGAGAGAGAATGGGACGGCAGAGGAACGTGAGTGACAGGCAGACGCAGCAACAGAGAGGCGGAGAGACGACGGAGACACACGCACGCAGAGGCTGCGGAATGGGTGCGGTCAATCAAAGCAACAAAACACAAACAAACAGAGAAACACAAAACAAACCCCGTGAAGTGAAGCCGAAGGGTGAAGGCGTCCGCCGAGCAGTGGGACGACCAGCACACACACACTCCCTCTTTCTCCCCCCGCACAGCCCAATCCAGGAAGAGAAAGAGAGAAAGGTCGCCCACCGAAAGCAATGAAACAATTAAAATGATAAAAACAGTTACGGTGCTCCACCCACGCAGCCAAGCAAGACGGCAGCGTGCGTGTGTTGATGGCAGCGGCAAACAGGAGGGGGAAGGGACGCCACCCATTGGGATGTGCGGAGCAAATGACCATTGAAACAAAAGTGAAAACAAAAAAGCAAAGGAGTACCCCTCAAAGCACAGGAGAGGAGTTGGCCCACAGAGACCACACGCAAACTCGGTGCACAAACACTCCGCGCCGCCCTGCCAGGGTGTGTGTGGGTGTGCGGGTCCCCGCAGCAGTCACTCCCCAGCAGCACAGGCAACAGCAGCCGTCAGCAGCAGCAGCAGCGTGCCACGCACCCACACAGTGAGCGTGTCGCTGCCGTCCGCATTGCCTTTTGTGTGTTTCCCACCACTGGGGCTGCTGCTGGTCGTGGTTGTAGTGGCGCTTCCACCATCGCCGCCAGCGGGAGTGTTGGAAGTGGAGGTGCCGGATGGCTGTGCAGAGGCTGAGGGTGCTTGCGCCCCGCTGTCTCCTGTGGCTTTTGATGAATCCACAGCGCCAGTCGGTGATGTTAATGTTCCCTGACTCCCTGTGGGTCCCGCACTGCCCGACTGCTCAGCAGCATTAGGAGCGGAGACTCCAGTACCTGCACTGCTGCCTGGCGAACTTCCGCCCTGCTGAGTTCCCTCCGAAGATGACGTTATTGCTGCTTGTGATTGTGGTTGTTGGCCCCCCGGAGTTTGGTGCCCAGGCACCGCTCCAGCTGCGTGTTGAATTTGTGGTAAGTTACACACCCCCGACTTCCAAAGTGGATATATCCTACTTCCGTCGAGGGTAACGGTTTTGCCCTTCAATTTCTCGGGGAGTTCACTGATCTCTGCCTTAAAATACATCGTGAACGCAACATCATTACTGCTCTCCCTTGCTGAGGAACTGCAGTTCGGGGGGCATGTTGCTTCCACGTACGTCAACTTGGCAAGAAGACAAATGGATTCAGTTGCACTGCCACCTGCACTGGCCGTCTCAACCGTAAGGGGCCCATAATAATGCATCGCCTGCGAACACTCCGTCCAATCAGAAGACCCTTCGCCAGAAACACGCCAACTTATTTTTCCTTTATTGTTCTGACACGACACATCCACTGCATAAAATTCCGATGACGTCGCCCCGCACACGGAGGAGCAGCAGCCGCACAGCAGCGCAAGCACCGCCAGGGCATACACCGCACGGCGCCGCACTGTCGCCATCGCCATCCGTCGTGGTGTTGGTGGTGGTGGTGGTAGCAGAGTCGCTGGGAGCGCTGGTCTGATCTATCAGGCAGCGGGGGTGAAAAGCAAAAGGCAGAGGCAGTGACGAGTACAGCGGCGGAAGGGCAGAGAGAAGAAACAAAAAGGGCAGCAGCTCCCCGAGCTCACGGAGAGGGAAAACTCGGCCCGCACGGCACCACCGGCACAAAATAAATATAAATTCACACCCCAATTTATATCGTGTGGCTGTGGCCGGGTGGGTGCCCGCAAATGCGCAAAGAAAAGACGGCAGGAGAAGACCAGCGGGGTTGGGGAGGGCACGGCAGTCACGCAAAAGATTGAACACGTCGAGGAGGCCGCGCCCCAAAAGAAAAGGCATCGCGCCCGCCAGCGCAGCGCACTGCTTTACAACTGCAGGCTCCTCCTCCTCCTCCTCCTCCTCGCCGGTGTCGCTGGGTCCCTGCGCGGGAAGGCGCGGTGTGCTGCAGGGGCCGCCGCAACCCCTCCGCCGCGCGTACCACAAACTGGTGCGGTGCGAGAAGAG